GGCAGTTAACTGCATAAAAAGCACGTTGGCCTGACGGAAAGCCGTCTAGGCTCAGTTGTAGGCAAGTCCTCAGAGAGAGAAGCTCTTTGAAGTGGGAGGAACTTCCAGAGAATACAGGTCCCAACAGTTCAAGCCTTGCACAGATCTTGTCAAGTGGAAAGACTTTATTTCAAGTGTATCTGTACTGAAGTAGAATCTTGGCAGGGGAATTTTATCTTAGAACCTTCTGAACTAGGAAGAATTCTTAAGGGGCCCCAAGAGAAGGGAAACTAAGCAGGTCTACAAGGGATGCACTACCCTGAGATCTTCCATTTTCCTCTGTGTGCTCCTATAAATACTCTTTCAAAGGTCTGCATGGTATAATGTAGGCCTTTAGCCATCTAGTCTGCTTATTTAATACCCTGTAAGGTGTTTTTTTACTATTATAATTAGCAAAACAGATGAATTGACACTTGTTTTAGTGCATTTGCAAAATGTGTTGAAATAAACCCTAGATTATTGTAATAAAATGCTTCTAAAGCTTTTGACATGAGAACATTAGAATAATCTAAAATGTGGCTTTGAAAAGTATCCTAATTCTAGTCAATCCAAATCAGGTTCCGCATGATTAATTCCTGTTTGTCTTTTCATTCCTTGGTGTACCTGATGTTTCTCTTTTGGAATTCAAAATGTTATTTTTGTGGTCAACTTATGCATATTTCTAAATAAAGGGAAACTATCAATTATAAAAATACACTAATTTTCTTCAAAGCTGCTGTTAAGCCACCAAACGAGAACAGGTGGAAAAAACCTGGCAGGTATGATCGAATGGCTCTTATTTTTTTAATCTGAGATTTAAATAGGGTGGGCTATAGCAAAGCAGTAATCACACCCTATTTAACTGGGCTGCTATATTTTCTCAAAACAAAGCATATTCTTCTGCCACCAAATACTAGTGCTGTGCTGCTGACAAAATAACGTGCCAAATACGTTATCACAAATGTTTTGCTGGGGTAATTCTTTGTTATATGTTAATTTTGGTTTTGTACACAGGATGCAGTCGAGGGCATGCTGTCCCCTTGCTCACTTGATATGCTGATGTTTAGTAATACTGAAAATAAAATAAAAGGTGTGTTAACAAGGGAACTATTTTCATATTTACTGAAGACAAAAATAACTCATGGTTTGCAAGTGTCAAAAGATCTATGGGGCCAGTGCTGCTGAGCACGGTAACCACAGCAACTTGCAGGGTTTGGGCATAAGTTTATGACCCCTGTTCTATAAACCACTGGCGGTCATTACCACAGGCTGCATTTTAATTGCTCTTTTAATTCCGAATACATTTCCCTTATAGCTTCCTCTGTACATTTAAATTTTGCTGCAGAAAACTTCTCCACATGCAAATTATAGTTTTCTAATGGCCTTAAATCCCCTGACTATCTGTGGTTATTTTAGTTAACAACAGGGCTACGTCTACACTGGCCCCTTTTCCGGAAGGGGCATGTAAATTTCACGAGTCGTCTTACTTCAAAGTAAGAATAAGAGCCTCCGGAAAAGGGCACTTTTTCCGGAGGATCGGGGCCAGTCTAGACGCTCTTTTCCGGCTTTTTTAAAAGCCGGAAAAAAGCGGCGGACATTTTTATTTAAATGCCGCGGGGGATATTTAAATCCCCCGCGGATTTCCCTACGACGACTAGTGAAATTTACATGCCCCTCCCGGAAGAGGGGCCAGTGTAGACGTAGCCTTTGGGTGCTTCTGTCTCAAAAAAGAACAATAAGTGACATTGATATGGCAGAGTTATGTCTGGACGACTCGTGAAATTTACATGCCCCTTCCGGAAAAGGGGCCAGTGTAGACGTAGCCCAGATGTATTAGACCTTTAGCTGGCTGTAGAAAACAACTTGGTTATTTACTTGTTAATAGTGACTTTTTACAAGTGTTTGCTGCTTAAACATTCCTAGAAGTGCCAATGAATATGTGCACACCAGAGAATGATCTCTTGGGGATGCAGGTTCAGATCAACATTTCTCTAATTACTCCTGGACAGAAATCTCAGGACTTCCCCTTTTCCAAATCTATTCAAAAACGAAACTGCAGTCCTGTCTGAAAGGATCACTGCAATGCACCGGGAGCTCATAATCTGACTGTATTAAATATGCAAATTGAGGATGGATAGGTGTGAAGTCCAGCAGTGTTCACCCCCATGCCTGCAGGAAAACATCCACTGGAATTAATCAATATAGCGAGCACAATGCTTTGCATTGAATGATGAAAAACAATAAGATCCCTCTAATAAATCATGGGGTAAAAATCCTCCCCATCCTCAAATGTGAAGCCTCTTCCTGCTTCCATTGAAGAAAATGGCAAAAATCCAATGGGCGCCTGGAGCACGAGTTGACTGTCAGTTCAACTCTGTACCCATGAAAACATCTCCTTTTATGCTAAACTTCTCTGTCCTGTCTGGCTACGTCTACACGGCAGTGGTATTTTGGAATAACTGACATTCTGAAATAACATAGTCAGCGTCTACACACCAAGCAGTTATTTCAACATAATGTTGAAATAATATCGAGCTGGAGGACTTCTTACTCTGACTCCTGTAACTCTCATTTTATGAGGAATAAGAGAAGTCGGAGGAAGAGTGCTCTAACTTGGACTTCCTGCTGTGTAGACAGCGCCAAAAGCTGAAATAAGCTATTTCAACTTAAGCTACACAATTGATGTAAAAGTGGCAAGGAGTCTTGTGGCACCTTATAGACTAACCAAAGTGTTGGAGCATAAGCTTTCGTGGGCAAAGGCCCACTTCGTCAGATGCATGTAGTGGAAATTTCCAGAGGCAGGTATAAATATGCAGGCCAGAATCAGGCTAGAGATGATGAGGTGGATCCAATCAGGGAGGATGAGGCCCACTTCTAGTAGCTGATCTGGAGGTGTGAATTCCAAGAGAGGAGAAGCTGCTTTTGTAGTTAGAGAGCCATTCACAGTCTTTGTTTAATCCTGAGTTGATTGTGTCAAATTTGAAGATGAACTGTAGCTCAGCAGTTTCTCGGATGGCTACCTTTAGATCTGCAATTGTGTGTCCAGAGAGATTGAAGTGTTCCCCTACACGTTTTCGTATGTTGCCATTCCTAATATCTGATTTGTGCCCATTTATTCTTTTACGTAGGGACTGTCCAGTTTGGCCGATGTATATAGCAGAGGGGCATTGTTAGTAGATATGCAGGAGAATGAACCAGTGACAGTATGGCTGATCTGGTTAGGTCCTGTGATGGTGTCGCTGGTGTATATATGTGGGCAGAGTTGGCACCGAGGTTTGTTGCATGGATTGGTTCCTGAATTAGAGTTATTATGGTGCGGTGTATAGGATGGGTTGTTGCATCCTGGACAATGATCCCTCACTTTCACAGGCCTTGGGAGGCAGGCCAGTCCTTGCCCACAGACAACCCGCCAACCTGAAACATATTCTCACCAGTAACTACACACCGCACCATAATAACTCTAAAAAAACCCATAATAACCTTTCCTCAGTCCACCTCAGTAGAGTTCCCGGAGCACAGTTTGAGAACTTCTGGTCTAAATGAAAGCTTGTATTTGCATTAAGCCAACATGAAAAATGTGTACAAATAAGATGTGTAGATGTCACATGAATGGAAAAATAAAAGTTAACTTCCTCTGAAGAAACGTATTCAACTTGAAAAAAAAATTCAGCTAGCTTTCTTTCTACACTTTTTCTTTACAAAATCGTCAATTAAGTCATTGTAATAGTTTGTAAAGAAGCACTTTCAATTGTCACTGTTGCTGAACTTGTCAAATGTTCCTCCCTGCTCTCTTGCTCCCCTCCACAGCCCTCTTTGCCGAGAGACTGCCCCCTCGCCCAGAGAAGTTACCTGCGGCAAGAAGGTAGGGGTGTTGCTGGACCCAGTGCTGCTGGACTGCCCAGCTCTGGGGGCCCCATGTCATTGGGGGAACCCTGTGCCAGGGCATGGTATGTTTCATTGTAAGTCTGCCACTGGATCTAAGTATAACTTAATCTCATAGACCTAGGCTCTGAACTCTTAATTACAGTATATGGTTTAAATTGAAAGGGCTGAATCAGGAAAATAGTAAAGAATTCTCCGCACCTGTGGACGTGTGTTCCTTGTATGGGATTCAGCAGTTTGAGTGCTCCTCCTCCCTGATTTTATCCTTACCTCTATGAAACTCTGCAAAAAGCAATACAAAACAAAAAAACTCTAGGCACACATGAGCCCAATCCTGACTTCCTTACTAAAGAACTGCAATGAGCTCTGTGCAAAGATCTGCATTGCTGAATTGGTATTGAAGGCAAAACTCCCAATGCAGTCAATGTGAAGTGCAGCATCCATCTCTGAAATGAACATTTTTATTTGCATTAAGATATTAAAGAAATGTAAACAGATTGTTTTTTACCTTAGGGACTCGTTTTCTTTGGCCAGAGATTTCTGTTTCAATGAAACAATCCAAAGAATATACATTATGCAAATGTAAAATACAGTGTAAAATGCATGATGAAGATATGAACAACCTTATACATGTTTTAAATGTATTAAAAACAAAACTGTCCCCCCTCTGCCCAATGAAATTGTGTTTATCCATAGCATTATGTTATGATTTTTTTAAGTGAAGTATCATGCTGCAGTATTTTGCTGAATTAAGGCCACAGTGATGAACTGGAGCTATAGTGCTTACTGCAAAACTAGAGAAGTTGAGCCTTGTGGTTAAGACCCAAAAGCCACAAGCCCACAATTAAGGAAGAATAATGTGCTGATTAAAGAATGACATAGTTTAGAAGGGAAGTAAAGGCAGCTATAAAAATAAAAAATAATATATAACACATGGAGGAAAGGGAAGGTGTATAGTAATGAATATAAATCCTAAGTTTTGAATTATAGAACATTGATAAGGGAAGCAAAGAGATACATGAAGAAATCTATGGCTAGCAGAGTTAAGGACCATAAGAAAATGTTTTTTCCAATATATTAGGAACAAAAATAATTTTGACAAAAGTATTTCTCCATTACCAGATGGAAATGGTAAAATTATCAATAATAATGTAAAATAGGGAGACATGTTCAATAAATAGCTCTATTCTGTACTGGAGCTGGGGGGAGAAGATCATCTTATCATACAGTCTTACTCTTATTTCCATTCTACCAATATCTCTGGAGGATGTTAAAAAGTTATTAAAGTTAGACATTTTAAAATCTAAATGTCTAGATCCAGGTAACTTGCAACCAAGAGTTTTAAAAGAGCTGGCTAAGAAGCCAACTGGACCATTAATATTGATTTCAATAAATCTGAGTGCACTAGAGAACTTTCAGAAGACTAGAAGAAAGTACATGTGCCAGTTTTTAAAAAGGACAAATGGAATGACCTGGGTAATTATAGGTCTGTTGCCCAGGATCAATGTCAGGCTAACATAATGGAACAGATGATATGGGACTTGATTAACAAAGAATTAAAGGGGAAATGTAAGTCATGCTAATCAACATGGGTTTTTAGAGAAAATAGATCCTGTTGAACTAACTTGATTTTTTTATGAGATACTACTGTAAAGTCAGCAGAACTATGTGTTATGCCCAAAAACAAATGTGTAATGATCAAGCAACTGAAAGCATTTTAAAATGAGATTTCTTCTCCACTCCACTTACGCTCTTCAATGTCAAATTTTTTAAAGAACCCAATCCTGCAATCCTTACACAAATCCAGAGGGTAGTAATGTTTTATCCTAAAGGACTAAAATAAATGAAAGGTGGTGAATTTGTTACAGGGGTTGTAAACTCAGAACTTTAATTTTTAAAGATAACATAATAATGACTTCCACTTACTTTACATGTGAAAGAATTGTTCACAAACACTTATTTTTGCCATAGATGAAACCTCTTAAAACTTCTTTGATAATGAACATCTCATATTATGTAAGAACAACTTTTTTAAACTTAATCAGCTATATGAGAGTCATGGCAACACATGGGGAAATTTTAATAAGGAAGTGAAGGGAATAAATGGGGTGGGGAAAAAGCAATCTAGTTACAAAACTAGATTCGATTGAGGATCACAACACAAAAGATATGCCCTTTTCTATCCCTTAGAAATGTAGGTGAAACCAGAAATAATGATCTCCTGAACAACCATACATATACTGTATACTCTATCCAACAAGAGTGCAGTACGTGGCTGAAAATAAAACTAATACAAGTGGTGATGTTACCTAAAGGTTCAAATCTAGGGACTGTAATAAATAGCCTGTCATATATTGCAAAGCATAAACACATAAAAAGTAAAAGTAAAAATATTTTCTGGTTGGGGAGCCATGGAATATTTAGAGCCAGGGTGAGGATAGCTTATAAGAAGACAGAAGGATTTTCCTGACCTCTCCACTATAAATCATGTAGCAGTGTTAACATGTTTCCATGAAAATTGTGTTTCAAAATAATATGATGTTTTATAAGCAGCTCAAGTACACTTTCTTTATGTATGCAGTGTCATTGTAGCCAACTTTTGTCCCAGAGAGACAGAAGTCCCAGAAAAAGATATTACCTCACTCCTGACTTGATTAGCTTCATTAACACAAGCTGGCTACGTCTACACTGGCCCCTTTTCCGGAAGGGGCATGTAAATTTCACCAGTCGTCGTAGGGAAATCCGCGGGGGATTTAAATATCCCCCGCGGCATTTAAATAAAAATGTCCGCCGCTTTTTTCCGGCTTTTAAAAAAGCCGGAAAAGAACGTCTAGACTGGCCCCGATCCTCCGGAAAAAGCGCCCTTTTCCGGAGGCTCTTATTCCTACTTCAAAGTACTGTACTTCAAAGTAGGAATAAGAGCCTCCGGAAAAGGGCGCTTTTTCCGGAGGATCGGGGCCAGTGTAGACGCTCTTTTCCGGCTTTTTTAAAAGCCGGAAAAAAGCGGCGGACATTTTTATTTAAATGCCGCGGGGGATATTTAAATCCCCCGCGGATTTCCCTACGACGACTGGTGAAATTTACATGCCCCTTCCGGAAAAGGGGCCAGTGTAGACGTAGCCTCAATGTATGCCATAATAAATCTGTTAGTTTCTAAGGTGCCACAGGACAGCTTGTTATTCTCACTCACCTTGTCTCTCTACTTGCTTTGGGAATGTTTCTTTGCTTATTTTCCCCTTCAAATTTGATCTCAAACAGGTGAATTTTTGTGGATTCTGTCTGATCCAGGTTCTCACTTTCTGCATAGCCCTGAGTGAAGCATTCCTACAAAAATCACTTTCTGAACTCAGTTTTATTTGAATTAGCCTGGTTTTCATCCTCCTTCATCCACTAGGAGGCAAACATGCTCATTAGTGAGTTTAATTTTGTACCCTGGTAAAGGATAACTGCCATACAATCTGCAGAACCTGACTGATAATTATTTTGATTGCATTGGGGAATAGACCAAAGAACTAGTACTGAGGGGTTTTCTGGTGCTTAGATTTAAAGGGGCCAAAGCTTTCTTGACAGTTCTGACTACGTGGAGAAGATGAAAGCAAAATGCACAAAATGTCTAAGAGGAACTGATGGGTTAATGCAAGCTATTGGAGAAGAAGAGAGAGTGCTTTCTGGTTTATATTTGTTAAGGTCTCTGATAATCATATCTAATGTTCTACAAAGGGTCATCTCTTCATCACATTAACTTCTATGGCAAAATTCCCATTAATGGCATCCACACATGACCCAAGTTACAGAACTCTCAAAACAAGTATGTTTTGCTCAAGCCATTAACATAAAAGTATTGCTGCCTACTACCCACATAAAATTATTGCTCCCAGACTTCCACCCTTTGAATTTTGGAGATCTCTTCTGGCTTCAATTTGTGTGCACACATCACAGACCCATTACGTTCTAGGTATCTGGGCCTCTATGGAATTAATCAGAGAATCTCACAGAGAATACCAAAAGGGGATTGGATACTGTTTTCTTTAGACCCAGGATGTCCAACCAGTTCTGAAGTAGTAGCCATTATAGCGAGCTAGCCACATTAATTCTGAAAATGTAAATAATATAGCTGCTACCAGGTCCGGCCAAAGAGTTTGTGGGGCTCAAGGTGACATATTGTGGTTGGCTGCACCATGTGGCTGGGCGACTCCCAGGCAGGGCAGGGAGCGAGCAGCTGGGCGGGCAAGTGCCAGGCAGCACAGGGTCCTGAAGGTGCAGGGGACCAAAGCTTGTCTTGCCCTAAGGCTGGGCCTGGCTGCTACTGCAATAGCCAACTAGCCATACTTCAACCGGCCAAATAGCCACACATGGCTAGCGTGCTGGACACCATGGCTTTAAAAGATGGCTGGAATAGTGGGGAATTTGTCGTGGTATTTTTTACAAAGCCCCAGCCCCTGGAATCATGGGATTGCACCTCAGCTTTCATGTCAGCCCCCAACAAAGAACAAGCTGCAGCAGCCGCACGTCTCCCCCAGAGGGCTGCACAAAAAAGCTGCAAAACGTGCTCCCAGTGCTCCCTGCAGACTCAAAGCCCAGACAGGAAACAGCGAGCACCAGCAAATAGGAATGAGTATTTAACCCTAATCCTCCTTAGCCCACCTCATGAGTGTGGGGGCGGCTGCCATAGCGATGCCCTTTGCCAGGTTCCTCCTGAGAGCCCTTGGGGACGGGCAGGGCCAGGGCCGAGCCCGAAGCCCCAGGGGGCGCCCCAGCAGGGCGGAGGTGTGCTTCGCGAGGGGCCAGCAGCGCAGGGGTTAAAGCCTGCTGCAGGGAGGAGGCGTGGCCGCGCTGACAGGTGGCGCATGCGCGTTGGCGCCGTATTGTGCCCGGCCGGCCCAGCCCCGCCGCGCCTC